ATTAAAAATGACTCAATTTTGTCGATGTCTTCAAAGGGATGTGTTGGCCAATATTTTTTATAACGATCGATATATTAGAAAAAAATCCCCAAATAAAAGAAAATAACACAAAACCATAAATATTATCGAGTAAGTTCTTTAACCTGATATATCAGTCAATATAGCAATATATACTGGTCAATATTTAATACATTGCTTATAAGAGCAACATTTAAAAATAATTTAGATATAAGTTCCTTGATTCTAGAGCTCAAATAATTCTATATTATTCCCTCAAAATTTTGAAATTGCTTACAATTTAATGGACTAATATTGAATTATTAAAAATGTGAGGGACATAAATATAAACAAGCCAAATTTTAAAAAAAGTGTTTTGTTTGAAAACTCTCTCTCTCCCATGGGGATTGTCTAAAAAACTCAATTGATTTAATTTGAAAAATCATTCTAACTATGAGGGTTTTGTAGAAACCCCTTTTAACTTTGGTGCGATTTTAGAAAACACCCCTCGACTATAGCGTGTCTCATAAAACCCCCTCATCCTTTAAATTTCTCTCAACAAAACCCCTTAATGTATTACTTGAATATGTAATTTTGAGAAAATACCCTCTTGAAGAAAGCCGTTTTAGTTAAAAGAACTTTCAACCGATAATAAAAGGACCACAACCAATTTATAATTCTTTTTCCCTCTAAATCTCCTCTTTTTCTTTAATCTAGAACAAACCAATCTAGTTTTTTAGGGTTGAGGGATATTTTAGTCTTTCCAAGTTAAATACTTATCATATAATAGATTGGACTCAATGATATTAGTTTTGAGCGATTAGGTGTAAAAAGTTTATAGGGTTAAATCAAAATTCTGAAGTTGAGATAGATTATCTACAAGACCCCAAATTTGACAAAGATTTACTCAGTTTTAAGTTAGAAATTTTCGTGGCCAAAGGTTCGGGTTCGAGGTTTGCCACCCATGACCCTTAAGTGTCCTACTAACCTGGTGATTAGATAGGATAGGGGGGCCAGTTCACCCAGGGTTTATTGGTAAGAGTGGGGGGCTCGAACTCGGGCCTTGGCTTAGGGATCCTTTTGCCTTACCAGGTTTTCCTCATATCCAAAAAAATAGCTAAGAGGGGTTTTTTGTTATTACCCCCCATAGCTGAGAGGGAGGTTTTTAAAGTTAAACAAAGTGCAACTTAAGGCACATGCGACATAGATCTTATAAAAATTGGTTTTATAGCAAGTATATCACTCTATGAACTCATTTGGGTTATGTGTCCGAAGATTTATCCTATACATCAACTCTAAAAAAATTTTGCTACAAAAATCTCTATAAGAAATTTAATCTTTATTTGCAAAGGGTATATGGTCCTTCTGATTCCCTTTGTCCTTCATGATTTTTAATAAACTATTTGACAAAATAAATTAAATTGTTCATTTTATAGTTCTCACTTTCTTATAAGTTTATGAATGACAAAATAAATTAAATTGTTCATTTTATAGTTCTCACTTTCTTATAAGTTTATGAAGCACATAGCTTGGGTATGAGTATTTTAAATTGTTCATTTTATAGTTCTCACTTTCTTATAAGTTTATGAAGCACATAGCTTGGGTATGAGTATTGTTGTGGATATTGAATTATTCTAACTCCTTAACCTAAAGTTTTGGATGTTTTTTTGACATTGGATAGATCTGAATTATTTGTTAAAATACAATTCATAGGGCATAATCTATACTACTTATAAAAGAGAATACCCATGTCAAAACTTTTAATTTCCTATTTTACCCTTTTAAATTTTGATAATTCACAATTATACCATTGGTTATAATTAATCTTTAAATAATTATCCATAACTCTTTATTAAATGCACCTCCTACTCTCCCTAAGAATATTTGGTCAAAAATAAAATCATTATCAATAGTTTATAATCTAATACTACATACAAATGGTTATGTCTATATTTAGAATTTTAGAATGTCAATGTTCACTTTTTGGTCTATCTTAGTTGCATGTCGGGGGCTTGCAACTCTTCTCTCTAAGAAGTTGAAACAACTCTATTGGAGGGACATCAAAGTTTAAACCATGGGAGGACCAGAGTTTTGTAGAAACTACATAATGTAAAATTAGAGAATGATGCACTTTATTCTATATTGCTTTGCGTCTTTTGAGCACCGACTGATAATTAGTCAAAAATTTCAACTCAAGACTATGAATTTCTTCCCAACCAGTCACAAAATAGTATAAGACAAAGTTAATCAAATAATTATAATAACAAGATGTAGAGTCTAGACTTTTAAAATTCAATTTGAATCAATGCATAAACTATGAACCAATTAACTACAAACAACCCTTTTTATTTTTATTTAACTTCTCTTTCATCTCTTGAGTGTAAATTAGCTCATACATTTTCTTCCACTCACCATAATACCTACTAAGTCAAACCATACAATTACAAAAGAAAAGGTCAACTAGAACTCCACTTGGATTAGAATAGAAAATTTAACAAAGCACATGATGTCGACTTCTTTCGAGGATCAAATTTGCTCAAGCATGTGTTAACATGGTATGATCCTCTATAATTCAATTAGAATTTTAAAAATATGTTTTGAAACTTGATTATTGTAGAAATGAGACAATTTGGTACAATTTAAATTGGTACAATCAATTTGGTGATTATTTTTCTTTTTGGAGACATCGGGATCACTCAAATTTCAAAATGTATTATAAAAAGACTAAAATGAACAAATGTATCTTAAAATCTCAGTTAGAATTAAATATTTTTAAAATTCAACCCCCTAAACGTATGTTTTGAAACTTGAGTATTTGTAGAAATGAGACAATTTGGTACAATTTAAATTGGTACAATCAATTTGGGATCACTCAAATTTTAAAATGTATTATAAAAAGACTAAAATGAACAAATGTGTTTTAAAATCTCATTAGATTAAATATTTTTAAAATCAACCCCCTAAACGTATTTCACGTATAATTTGAAAACACATTGTATAAAAAAAAATCTAATGATGTTAATATCATGAAGTAGGGGCACGATTAGGAATGCATTAGGCTAATTGTATTATCCTTTTGATGTTACTGTGAAAAGTACAAAATAGACTTTTTAACTATGATTTCAAGAAAAAAAACATTAAATAAATACTACAACCAGCATATTTACATGCATCCAAAATAAATGTTATATTTTTATTATAAATAAGCCCTAATTACTAAAGTGATATCTTCTAAAGCTTTGGCTTTTTTACCTTCTAGTTAATTATTCATTCTGTATGTTACAATTTTTTTCATTTATTTCTCTCTTCCTCTCCTTCCAACCATTTGACTTCTATTTCTAAGAAACGAAGTGCTTGGGATGGCACTAAAGATGGAAGAGATTTCTATGGAAATGCTATCGCAATGATTTAATGCTAACTTGTGAACTAGAGATTGATAAAATGCATATGAATGACATAATCAGTCTCTCTTGCAATTATCACGAAACTTTAACAAGTGACAAGTCCTTTCGCATGATATATCTCCATCATTCAAACATGTCAATTTTAGTTTTAAGTTTAAGAAATTTATTTGCGAAAGCTCTTATTAATTAGCATTTCCTTAAATAGCTTGAACCTTAGCGTAAATTGAGCAAAGATGCGTCTCACATCTCTAATATTAGATCATCTTTTAATATTGCTATTGTGTTAACATAATAAGTTTGTTCATACATAGGGTTATAATTTTTTCACTCTATTAATCCACGTTGGGTATCTGCTATTTAGTAAATTTGTCCCTCTATGTCTGTATGTTTTGTTTCAGCTTTAAATGCTGATAATTAATATAGACTTTGATAAGGTAATTAAATTTGAAACATGATATGAATTGGTTCTTTTTTTGTCTCCTTACCCTATAAGTTAAGGTCTTCCATCTATTAGCTAATCTAATTATCTAAGAATCCTAGCACATAAATCTCTTATTACGTTCTTTATGTGGGTTTCATGAATATTGGTAAAATCTAAACCAATTTAATTACATGAATATATCTAAATCATCGATTCACTTCATCATTTTATGGTTCACATTTACAAATTTTAATACTGAACAAGTATACCCACGTGCAACGCACGTGCACTTTACTAGTATGTATAAATCATTCTCATATTATATTTTATAATTTTTTGAAACTAGAGAGTAATCGCTTTGCCAAGTCAATTAATTAGTTGGGAAGATGTAGAAAGACTACAATATCAGATTTTGGAATTGATCACATAATTTATGTTTTCTTTCTTGAATGAATTTGCACATTCAAACAAAGAAAATTCTAGAAAAAAGTTTTTAAATATCTATAAAACTTGGTCGTCGGATAAACCACAGGTGGAAATAAACAACAAGTGAAAGTGATTTCTTTATAGTTAAACAAAATCATATATGACCAGATAAAACCTACTATTTTACTTTGATGAATTCAAGAATTTTAACTTTATCATTAATAATGATAGTTTTTTTATATTGGTCCCTTACATCATTAATATTTTAAAATTAGATCTTCAAGTCATTAAATTGCTCTTAAGTCATTAATATTTTAAGACTTTTGTTGCAAAAGGCAAAATGTTGAAACCAACAAGATATTATACATGGAAATATCCAAAAAATTTTAATATATTATCATAATCATAAACTTTTTTGCAACCATGTTATAGTAAGTAAATATGCTTAAAACAAATAATTAAGATATTTGACCACGTGCAGTGCATGTGCATTCCACCTAGTATATTAAAACTTGGATCCTTCTTTAAGCATACACAAGTAGATATGATTTCTAATTTTAAGCATACTATAATCAAATTAAACGTATTAAAACTTAGAGGGAAACAAGTTTCAAATACAGTGCCTTAAAAAACAGAGGGCCATGCTTTGCACGGGGTGCACATTAGTCTTGTGGAATTTACAAAGTTCAGCAGCGATTTTTTATAAACTCACTAAAAGTCAAGGGGTTTTTGTGAAGTTGACCCTAAAGAGCCAGATAGGGCTGGCTATGAACGGGGCCGTCTAGTTTAGGCCATTGAAAACCTAGTATCTTTGCACATAGCAGAATTCTAATGGCTGCAACTGCTCTCCTCCCTCGCTCTTGCTTTTGTTCTCTCTTCTCTTCAAAATTTCGCCCAAATCGCCATGAACCCAAAAAATTTATCCTCTTGGTTTCTCCTTCTGTTTCTTCTAACCTTAGCTTGTGGGATTCTATTAATTATTTGAGAAGAGGAAGGAAACAGAGATTCCAGCATCTAATGAGAACATCATCGGAAGGTATTTTAATTTTTATGATAAACCCATTTTAACTATGTTCTTCTTCTGGAGTAATTTTTTTTTTTTTTTTTTGAAATGGGTTTTGTTTCCTATTTATCATTTCGTTTTGCATTTAGTGGTCAGAAACTTTACACTGAACCCTGTTGCCCTTGATATCAAAAAGGATTAATTGCAAACAGGCCCCCCTTAGTATCAGCCAATTGCGACAGCCCCCTGTAGTTCTAGGTGTTGTGAATAGACACCTGAGTGAACTTTTTTTTTTTACTCTTAAAATTGTTAAAAAGGTTCAAGGAGGCAGATAGACCCCCTTTATTTCAATTGGTGAGGATAAACCTCCAATTGCTAATTTTTCTTGACTTTTAAAAGCGGTCAGAAAGTTTCACCAATAAGAGGGTGAGTTCGTGTGAAGCACGTGGCCACTACCACGTGATTGAAGCTCACGCGGAAGTTTACGCGGAGCGGAGAGCGTGAACATCAAAGCCCACCCGAAATCCCGAAATTAAATCACAATATATATTAACTTGTTTGATTTTAGGGTTTTTTGTGCGAAGGAAGGCAGAGGGAATAGTCTTGCGGCTACAGGTGCGTGAGAGCAAGGTTGCATGTGCGCGAATTCGTTTGGCGGCTGCAGGAGAAAATCACGTGCAAAGGCAGAGAAGAAAATTGTTGTGCAAGGAGAAAAGTCAGCCGCCTTTTGTGAAGATTTTGTGCAGTTGTTTTCAGAGAGATATTTGTGTGAGGGATTTGAGAGATTGTGTGAGGGTTTAGATTGAGTGATTGTAAACCCTATTTGTATTCTCTCCCTCTAGTAGTAGATCTCCCCCTCCTTGCCCCATGGATGCAGGCAATTTGCCGAACCACGTAAAAATTGGTTGTACTGCTTTTGTGTGATTTGTAATAGCTTTTTAGATTCCCTCGACGCGCAGTCCTAGAGCTGACGAGAGGAAGAGCAAATATCCCACTTTGATGGGATATTAGGCTTCAGATTCTTGTTTCCTTTGAGACACAAGAATTCTTATTGCGACCTAACTCTTGTTGTGCTGTCAAAGTGCTGCCGAAATTTTTGCTGCGCGCAACAAGTGGTATCAGAGCCCAGATTTCAGATCTAGGGTGTTTTGGATTTGGTGGAGGAAGATTTTGTGTGAAGCTTGGTTCTTGGAGTTCTAGGCTTCGGCGGAGATAGCATTAGGAGTTGCCATTGGAGATTTCGCTTTCCTCGTGTGGATAGGAGATCTATTTGGAATCCGATCTAGGATTCGGTTGGGTGGTTCCTAATTCTATCAAATTTGTTCTTTCTCTACAATTTGGAGTTAGTTCGCAATGGGAGAAGAAGGTGAAAGCAGCAAATCAATGGCGAGTACAATACAAGTTGGTTTTCAAAACACCAAAATTAGTGTGGTGAAATATGACGGAAAAATCAACTTTGGTTTGTGGATGAGCGACGTACAGGATGCGCTCAATGCTCAGAATTTGGAAGAGACCATCATGGTCCACGAGAGACCACCTAAATATGAAGAGGCGGTATGGGAGAAAATGAATAGGAACGCTTGTGGGGTGATCAGGTCCTGTTTGGAACAGGAACTGAAATATGATGTGATTGGGGTGACGTCTACAATGAAGATGATTCCGATGATTCGTGTTTTTCTCTACTGATTACTCCGGAGGTGAATCATGTGGATGCATCAGATTGGATGCTTGATTCCGGCGCTACTTTTCATGTGACCCCTAGGCAAGACTGGTTTGCATCTTTTGAGAAAGTCGACGGGGGCGTTGTTGTCATGAAAAATGATCAATCCTGTGACGTTTGTGGGATAGGTACCGTACGGATTAGGATGCACGATGGAGTAGTTCGTGAGTTGAAGGAGGTGAGATTTGTTCCTCAACTGAAGAAAAATCTTATCTCAGTTGGAGCTTTGGAGGCGAAGGGATTCAAGGTGACTTTCGAAAACGCTGTAGCGAAGGTTACTAAGGGATCATTGGTGGTGATGAGGGGAGTCCGCAATCGGAATTTGTATTATCTGAAGGGAAGCACCGAGATTGGCCAGGTTGCTTCGGCTATTTCAGAAGCGGACATGAGCAGACTTTGGCACTATAGATTGGGGCACACAGGTGAAAAGTCACTGCAGGCATTGTGCAAGCAGGGGCTATTGAAGGGAGCCAAGAGTGGGAAGATTGAGTTCTGTGAGCACTGTGTTCTTGGCAAGAAGACGAAGGTGAAGTTCGGGACTGCCATTCATCAGACGAAGGGCATCCTGGATTACGTGCACACAGACGTTTGGGGTCCCACCAAGACTGCATCACTTGGTGGTCGACATTGGTTCGTCACTTTTGTAGATGACTATTCTAGGTGTTGTTGGGTGTACACCATGACGAAGAAGAGCGAAGTCCTAGATTTGTTTGTGGAGTAGAAGAAGAGATTAGAACTGCAGATTGGGAGAAAGATCAAGACGTTGCGATCCGACAACGGTGGTGAGTATACTTCTGACCCCTTTCAGCAGCTATGTCGAGACGAGGGCATAGAGAGACACTTCACAGTCAGTCATACACCGCAGCAAAATGGGGTGGCAGAGAGGTTGAATCGGTCTTTACTGGAGAAGATCCGATGCTTATTGTCGCAGAGTGGTTTGGAGAAGATCTTTTGGGCTGAGGCACTTACATATGCGAGCCACCTCATTAATAGGCTGCCTTCATCTGCGATTGAGGGGAAAACCCCTATGGAGATGTGGTCGGGAAAGCCAGCACATGACTATGACCAGCTCAAGGTATTCGGGTGCCCTGCATATTATCATGTTAGAACTGATAAATTGGAACCTCGAGCTAGGAAGGCCATATTTGTAGGATTCAAGCGTGGTGTCAAGGGATACAAGCTTTGGGATCCAGTTGATAAGAAGATTGTGCTGAGTAGGGACGTCACGTTTGATGAAGCTTCTATCTTGAAGCTTCCCAGCTCTCATCAGGTGGAGAGCGACCCGACGGAGGAGATATCGCAGGTGGTGGAGATCGATGCAGCTCCACATTGTCCAGATGGTACAGTATCCATGCAGGTGCCGACTGAGGTGACGCCAGGCGAACACGACGATGACACGGAGGATACGAGTACAAATGTGCAGGATCAAGAACCGACGGCTCAGGTTCAGGATTCGATTGCGGCTCGGAGACAGAGGAGAAACATACAGATGCCAGCACGGTATGCCGACACAGTTGCGTATGCACTTCCGGTGGAGAGTATCGATGAGTTAGTGCCTACTACATTCAGAGAGGCCGAGCAGAGTTCGGAGGCTGATTCGTGGCAGGTGGCTATGCAGGAGGAGATGGAATCTCTTCATAAGAACGATACATGGGAGCTTGTTGAGCTTCCAAAGGGACAGAAGGTAATTGGTTGCAAGTGGGTATACACGAAGAAGGAGGGCATTGAGGGCACTCCATTGAAGCTCAAAGCTAGGTTGGTTGCGAAGGGTTATGCACAGGAGGAAGGTATTGACTATAATGAGGTTTTCCCTCCGGTGGTGAAGCACTCTTCGATTCGGATTCTGCTAGCTTTGGTGGCACAGTATGGTTTGGAGTTAGATCAGTTGGGTGTGAAGACGGCCAGGGCCGGATCTGAGATTTTAGGGGCCCTGTGCGAAAAGTAAACACAGGGCTTTCTCTATATACAAAATATCAATAAATTCCAATTCGAATCCCTAAAATGCTAAGGAACAAAATGTTACTGATCAGACATTAAAATATTACCTGATTTTTTGCATCTGTATAGTCTTTAACATACTTTTCAAGTGCTATTGTCCATTCTTCATCTCTTTGGTCACCTGAATATTACTGATAAGATAAATACATGTAATCCCACATTAATAAAGCTTTCCAATAGAGCAAATAGTCCACAATAAGAAATACTTGCATATTATGTTTCTCTTGTATCTGTGCTTACCTTAATAAGAGATATCGAAGCCTTTAGCATATAAAGTATCATCGAAAAATTGTCCTCCTTGCATTTTTAGCTGCAAAATCACTAATTAAGCCCTTAACATCAATTTTATCAATAAAATCATTTTCAATAGATATCAAAGCTAGTCCATTTAGTCTTTCTTGTGACATGGTCGATCTCAAATAAGATTTTAATAATTTTAATTTTGAAAAACTTCTTTCTGCAGATGCGACTGTAACAGGTATAGTCAATAATATTCTATAAGCAATACATGCATTTGGAAAACAATTTCGTATTTTTAAGAAATTCAGTATATCAATAGCCATCTTTGTTTCTTTTGGTAAAATATATCGTAAGATTTTTAGTTCTCCATATAAATCTTTCCCATCAAGATCAGAAAATGTTTTATATTTTAGAACAATTTCAAGATTATCACAACATGCTTTCAAATTATTATCATCTAATGAGTTTAACTTTTCTGAACCAAACAAAAATCCAAAAATATCTTCATATGCTTTATATTGCTCAAACCTTTTCTTTAGTGAACCAATAGCTTGATCTACAATACACAAAAAATAATTGATTCTAAAAGATTCTTCAGCTGATTGTGTTGTCTCCTCATTAACATTCTCATCAAATTGTCTTTTTCTACGGATTTGACGTTTTACTTGAAATACAGAATCAATTTCCATTTCAGTAGCAATTTCTTTAGCAATTGTCATAGCTTGTGTGAACCCAACTTCTCTATACTCCTCAAAAAACCTAATCAATCCTTTTACTTGATCTATAGCAATATCAATAAGCATGTCTTTAGATTGTAAATATTTGCTAATTAAGTTAACAGCAAACAATATATCATACCAAATAATCATACTTAATAAAAATTCAAAATTTCCAATTCCATGTGTTGCTAAAGAATCTGCTTCACTTCTTATTTTGGAGTCATTATCAGTTTCTGCTAACTGAAGTAGTGCTTCTCTTATTTCAAGCGTTTGGAATCTAATTGCTTTAACGCTTTCAATATGACTTTCCCAACGTGTAGCTGACAATGGCTTCACAGTTAAACCTTTTACATTATTTATCAAAATTTGCCATCGCTTTGTTGAGTGAGAAAATAATGTATAAATGCGTTGTATCACTCCAAAAAAGTCTTTTGCTTTACCACAACAATTTGCCATGTCACAAAGTGTTAAATTAAGACTATGACAACCACAAGGCGTGTATAATGCTCTAGGATTTATTTCAAGTACTTTTTTTTGTACACCTTGGTGTCTCCCTTTCATATTAGACCCATTATCATACCCTTGACCTCGTACATTATCAATATCAAGATTAAGAGTTTTTAGCACATTTTGCAATTCTCATTTCAATTAGGCCTAAAAAATTTCCATTATTATTTTGATAAATTCTCTCATTTGTGCCTCAAAATGCCAAGTTATGTTTAGCAAGATATTTAACAACAGAAATTATTCTTTGTAATACTTTCTTCCAATGTTCCTTCTCTTTATTAATTTGCTCTTGAATATTTTTATCAATTGTTTTATTATTCTTTAATCTTATGCGTAAATCAAGCCAAATACTCATGTTAATGATGTGCTCATTAGTTGTTTCATGTTCTTTAAGCCTAGCACTAAGATGCATCCAATCATTAAATCCTTCATTTATTAAAAAACTTTTCTTAAAACCATTTTTAAACAGTTTACAACAAAAACAAAATACTTTATCGATATCCTTTGAATAAACTAACCATTCCCTATCACATTTCTCTCCATTTGATAAATGTCTAGTGTAAAATGCTGAAGAAAAACATCTTCCTAATTTATCTTTAGGACCTTTTTCGACTAATAGATCTCTTATAGGGCCATTTTCCACTAATATATCTCTAGATTTTGTGTCCAAATTATCCCAAGTTCTTGGATCATAAATATTCAAATTCATGAGCATGGACTGATTAGGTTGTTCATTGCCTAAAATATTTTCATTCTCATTTTCATTTTCATTGTCAATATCAATTTCATTCTGATTCAAATTCTCATTTTTACCTTCATTTTCATTTTCATTTTGATTCTCATTTTCATTATGATTCTCATTTTCATTCTGATTCTCATTTTCATTATCATTTTCATTATGATTCTCATTTTCATTCTGTTTCTCATTTCCATTATCATTTTCATTATGATTCTCACTTTCATTCCGATTCTCATTTTCATTATCATTTTCATTATGATTCAAATTTTCATTCGCATACTCATTCAGGCCCAAATCATTAATATTATCATTTTCAATTGAATTTTCAACTAAATCTTGTGTTTCTCTAATAATAAATTTATCAAGCGCTCCACTTTGAGTTTGGACAAATTGTTCAATTTTTCTTTTTTCTTGCGTTTATCATATCCAGATAGATACTTTCTTGGAGGCATTTCTATAATAAAACAAAAAATATCACAATCAAATTGAAAGAAGTTAAAAGATTCGGAACAATACAACCTGTTGAACAGCTCCGGCTGAAGAATACAAAGCGGCAGCACGACACTACGGCAACAGCAGCACCGAAAATATAAGACCCACTTGGCCGCTTCGATCTCCTGCAATACAAGAAAAGAAATCTCAAATCAGTAACAAAACCCTAAAAATCATAAGTTCACAACAGAAAAATTATAAAAATAAAAAAAATGAGGAGGATGGGGACCGAACTGGATTTGGAGGACGGGGACCGAGGATGGGGACTGCGATTTCGGGGTTGGCGGCGTCGCGGCGATTTCGGGTCTGAGGGCCGAGGCTGAGCTGAGCTGAGCTGCTGAGGGTGGAGAGAGGATGCCGATGGCGATGCAGGTTGACGACGATTTGGGGCTGGCCTCGCCGCCTCGGCCTCGGGCGGTGCCGCGGTGGAGTCGAAGAGCCGGAGAGGAGGGGACTCAGTCACTCAGGCCCTCAGGGGCTGGCGGCGGCGGCGAGTCGCTGAGCCGTGCGAAGGGCTATGCACAGGAGGAAGGTATTGATTACAATGAGGTTTTCTCTCCGGTGGTGAAGCATTCGTCGATTCGGATTTTGCTAGCTTTGGTGGCACAGTATGGATTGGAGTTAGATCAGTTGGATGTGAAGACAGCATTTCTTCATGGTGATCTTGATGAAGAAATATATATGACTCAGCCATTGGGATTCCGAGCTGCAGGGAAAGATAAGTTGGTTTGCAAACTGAAGAAATCGCTATACGGTTTGAAGCAGTCTCCTCGACAGTGGTATAGGCGATTTGATGGTTTTATGCTTGGTCATTCGTACACTCGGAGCCAGTTTGATCCTTGCGTATATTTTCGCAAGTTGAAAGGAGGTGCGTACATTTATTTGTTGCTCTATGTCGATGACATGTTGGTTGCCTCTATTTCCAGGTCGGCTATAGATGAATTGAAAGTTCAGCTATCAAATGAGTTTGAGATGAAAGACTTGGGTGAGGCGAAGCACATTCTAGGGATGGAGATCGGCAGAGACAAGAAGAAGGGCAGAATTTATTTGACACAGTTGGCTTATTTGAAGAAAGTTCTACAGCGATTCCATGTTAGCATGGATACGAAGCCAATTGGTGTACCTTTGGGAGCCCATTTGAAGCTTTCAGCTGGTCTTTCACCGAAGTCAGTTGAAGATCGTGAGTTAATGTCGAAGACTCCATATGCGAGTGCGGTTGGGAGCTTGATGTACGCAATGATATGTACGAGACCGGATTTATCACAGGCGGTAAGCAGGTATCGAGATACATGCACGATCCAGGAGTGGGTCATTGGGACGCCGTGAAATGGATTTTGAGGTACATTCGAGGTACGGTCAATGTTGGTTTGGTTTATGAGCGGGATACTAAAGGTGGGCAGTTATGCATTGGTTATGTTGATTCGGATTATGCCGGGGATTTGGATAAGCGCCGGTCTACTACGGGGTATGTGTTTACTTTGACCCGTGCGCCGGTGTGTTGGAGATGCATCTTACAGTCGACGGTGGCTTTGTCTACGACGGAGGCAGAGTATATGGCAGTTACGGAGGCTGTGAAGGAGGCTATTTGGCTTCGAGGACTTTTGAAGGAACTTGGTATATCGCAGAGGTCCGTCACTATTCATTGTGATGGCATGAGTGCTATCTATTTGGCGAAGAATCATGTTTTTCATGCGCGGACGAAGCACATTGACGTTTGTTATCACTTCGTTCGGGATGTTCTTGAAGATGGTGATGTGGAGATTGTGAAAGTCCACACGAAGGATAATCCGACAGATATGCTCACTAAGGTGGTTCCGAGCAACAAGTTTGATCATTGTCGAAACTTGTTGCATATTCGTGATTGTTGAGGCCGTTGGCGGCTATTTGGGTGAACTACGTTCGGCTTGATTCCTTGGGCAAGAGGATACGTAGGCAGTCTTTGAGATGCAGCCGGTTTGGATTAGTTGATTTTGATGGGGGTGAGATTGTTTGGACTCTCGTTCGGGTTCTTGATTTGTTGTGGGTTGCGTTCGTACTGGACACAACAAGTGGGACATTTGGTTGCTTTGGTGTCGGCTCAGTTTTGGGAAAAACTTCACCGATGTGGAGAATTGTGAAGCACGTGGCCACTACCACGTGATTGAAGCTCACGCGGAAGTTTACGCGGAGCGGAGAGCGTGAACATCAAAGCCCACCCGAAATCCTGAAATCAAATCACAATATATATTAACCTGTTTGATTTTAGGGTTTTTTGTGCGAAGGAAGGCAGAGGGAATAGTCTTGCGGCTACAGGTGCGTGAGAGCAAGGCTGCATGTGCGCGAATTCGTTTGGCGGCTGCAGGAGAAAATCGCGTGCAAAGGCAGAGAAGAAAATTGCTGTGCAAGGAGAAAAGTCAGCCGCCTTTTGTGAAGATTTTGTGCAGTTGTTTTCAGAGAGATATTTGTGTGAGGGATTTGAGAGATTGTGTGAGGGTTTAGATTGAGTGATTGTAAACCCTATTTGTATTCTCTCCCTCTAGTAGTAGATCTCCCCCTCCTTGCCCCGTGGATGTAAGCAATTTGCCGAACCACGTAAAAATTGGTTGTACTGTTTTTGTGTGATTTGTAATAGCTTTTTAGATTCCCTCGACGCGCAGTCCTAGAGCTGACGAGAGGAAGAGCAAATATCCCACTTTGATGGGATATTAGGCTTCAGATTCTTGTTTCCTTTGAGACACAAGAATTCTTATTGCGACCTAACTCTTGTTGTGCTGCCGAAGTGCTGCCGAAATTTCCGCTGCGCGCAACAGTTCGCCCTTGGATCGATGCTAGGGAGGTTTATTTGCAACAAATAGAACTATAGGGGGTCTACTTGCAAGTGGTGGGCCTTTCGCAATTAACCCTATCAAAAATTAGTGCTACACTGTGGATGATATAACGGATATTTAAGAAGTTTGCTTTCGATTTTTGATATGGTGATAGATGGTAGGAAATGAATCATGGCAGGTGTTCCAAGTGAGTTAGCTGAAGATCCAAAATTTGTTCCTTTAAATGCTGATGATCCTGTATTTGGACCCCCTGTAAGTTTCACAAACTTCCCGAGATTATTAAATGCTAAACTTTTAGAATGCAATGCTCATGATTGTTGCCGACTTATTTTAATATTATGATGATCTTGAGTTGTAGAAAGTGATTTTGGTAACCTTGATTTTTTTTTTAACCTTCCCTTCTAATAGGCTTTATTGCTAATGGGGTTTGAAGCAGATGAAAGTGATAAGGTACTTTCTGTTTCTATATTCTTTATCCAACATTTGGAAAATATTATGTCCCATACCTCATCTAGTAAAATTTTCTTATTTTTGTATTACATTTGGACGTACTATTAGATTAGCGATCGCTATCACATATAATTCAAGCTAAATGTGCGTAAATTCCAATGCAGATTCAGAAGTTTCTAAAAGAGTTAGATGGTGAGTTTTTGAAGGTAACTTTGAATCCATTCTTATGTGCTTTCATGAAAATTTTCTTCATTCTTGAAAATACTTGTATTACTTCTGTCTTTCAAGTACTGGCACACAAAATCTAAGGACAAGACATGCATGAGTAGGTTAACTAGCTATCCTATACATATTGATGGGAAAACATTGAGTAACTGCAAATAACATATATTTGATTTAAGGAAAATGTAGTTTGTAAGATTCTCAGACACTTCAAATTGGGATTTTAGTATGAAATTGTTGGTGAACTTCCCCGTTCCTGCTTTCTTATATATTAGAAAATTCTTGAGATAATCATTTCTCCGGTAGTTAGTCACTTTTAAGGGTATTGCTTAATGCTTAAATAAGATGTAAGCATTCAACTTATGACTAAATAATAGCGATATTTCGTGAGCTATAATTTGTGAAGTTTTTGCCTATTCTCACTAATAAACTCAACATAAGCATCTCTAATTCTTTTATATATGCAAATCCAAGTAACAATAAGGATAGAACTCTAATCCTGTCCTCCATCTTAGAAATCGCATAAAAAAAATTGTAATAGCATGAAATATTTAAACTTTTTCTCGATTTTAATTCTACATGATCAATGATCTATGGCTGCAGTCAAGCTTTCTGTGTAAGGGTTTTACCAGCACTTGGTTTTGTAGATAACAATTTAATGGTACCCAAATTGTACTGTAAAATGATGAATTTAAACTATGTTTGTATGTAATATTTTGTTTGTGCTTTTTGCTACTATACGCATGTCTTTTTGCAGGTTATTCATTGCACTGAAGATACGCTTAATAAATCCATTTGGGATGCAATGAACACAGAACAGCCCAATTTAGAAGCTGTGAAGGTGATGATCATACTTTGTTAATATTTGCGTTACTTATGAAATATGTTCTTTGGACTTTGCTCGAAATACCCAACTGAAGAGTTTCATGTGTGAGTTTTGCATAATTGTTAAGAAATAGGAGATGTGGTCAGAGACTTAGAAATCATTGACATGTACTATATCACAAGCACATGCAAAAGAAGTAATTTAACCAAATATTATTACATAAATGATATCAAAGAAGGCAGTGGTTCTTTGTTAGAAGCGAAGAAGATAACATTTGTCCAACAAATTATTACAGTTTTAGACTTTCAGTATTATCTTACACTCAAATCTTATTCTCAATGTAGCTGAATTTTGTGTTTCATTACTCTTAATATACTAACATTTCTTTTTTCCAACTCTTGTATCATCCAAGAGGGCCTGCACTTATATGACCATTGACTAGAAGTCTATTTTTGCTTTGATCCAGCATTGTTGCTCAGTTAGTTAACCCACTAAACTCCTGATTTTGAGCTTTTCTCAATTTACGTGTGCGTTACTTCCCAAATTGCAGATTGCTGAATCTTTGCCGAGAATATGCTTCCTCTCTGGATTAAGTGGGGAGGAAATGATGATGTTTATTGACGCATTTCCAGAGACTGGTATCACATTTCAATCTTTCTAACTCTTAATATCTGATAATGCTTCATAGGTCTCTCTTCTTTTGTGGAAATATAAAAAAGGGTCAATTACACAGATACCCGGTGATGTAGCAATGTGCCACTTATTACCCCTTAAGTTTGATGCTGAACGCCACTAGAGATATGTGGCAGATAATGTCACTCTTCCCCTCTCTTCCCCCACCAACAAAATAAAAATAAAAAATAAAAAAGAAGAAGAAAATCTCCGCCTCAACCCTTGCTAGAAACGGCACTGTTCAGAAGACAGGAGGAGTGCAGGATGAGTGATGGCGTTAAGTTTAGTTCCAAGGCGTCGATTTGCCAATATTAAACTTAAAGTGTAACAAGTGGCATAGTAAGATAGTACAGGAAATTTGTGCACAGGAAATTTGTGCACATCTAACCCTACAAAAGAGATCACATTCAAGACATATCCTTTTGCCACCAACTCTCAAGCAATTAACCATCGACTGTACTATGAAATAAATATTGTTGGTTTGGTACTGAAACCCGTTTGAAAATATTTTATGTTAAAAAAAGTAGAATGAGTAACTGTGAAAAATATGTTTGATTATAATCTTCTTTCTGCCTGAATATTTTCATTTTGACCTTATGAAAACATGAAAACATTTTAAGCCTAGAAAAGGTTACAAAAAAAATTTATATTGCATTATAGTGTTTCGCTGTGTTTTAATGTGCAGGGTTAAAGCCTGCAGTGTTTGCAGCACTTGTTCCTAACAGCGCAAATAAACCTCTGCTTGAGGTGGCTGAAGAGATTATGGGAGACCATGAAATGATGGTAATCCTTAATGTTGTTCTATTAAATTTATCAGCTCTGATCAAATGTGAGATTGTTTCTCATACTTTTTGTTTCACTTGAATGCAGTCATCAAAACAGTCGAATTGATTTCTATCGTTCTGAAAGAACTCAAAATTTGATAGAAGATATATTACGGTCGCAGCTCCCTCTCACTCACGCAAAGTTTTCGAGTTTGATTTCTGGATTTATTTTTGCAGGTTTATTCGAAATATTAGCTTATGGGGGTGAAAAGAGTATTTATAATGTATATTATTAATTTTAAAAGATACATGCAGAACTCCATTAATGGATATGTACAGACTAATATTTAGGATTTATATTGCAATTGCATTATTATGTACTCCTTGTGCTTGGCACCCAACTTGTGTGCTTAATCGTATTCCAATGTTTGAATCCAAGTTCAGATTATGTACTCAATCATATTTGGATGTTGTTTTGATATTTCTCTTAATTGCAAAAGTCATTTTTATATTATCAAGGTTCATGTTCTTTAAAGAAAAATATCGAAGTGTTTTATTTTTTCCACACACTCTCTCTCCTACTCCAACCACTAAAAAAACTCAAGAATGAAAATATTATCTTATTTAATAAAGTAGAATACTCTCCTACTCCAACCACTAAAAAAACTCAAGAATGAAAATATTATCTTATTTAATAAAGTAGAATATTATCTAATCATTTCGGTTATTCTAAATGGATTAACTTATTTAACTTTTCTTCTTAAGGGTGTGTTTGGCAATCTTTCAAAATTGGCTAGGTTCAAAATTGACCCAATTTTGAAAGATTTTTGATTTGGCAAACATGAGGGTCAGATTTGGCCTGTTTCGTGGGCCAAAACATGGTTTTTAAACCAGTTTTCTTTCGGACCAGGTGATTGGTCCAAAAGAAAACTAGTTTAGCATAAGACTAGGCCAGGACTTGTACCGGTCTAGTTTTACATAGTTTGTCAAACACACTTAAGAGATAGGACGACATTATAATATATTTCATACTATATATTTAAGAAAAGTCTCTATTTCACTTTGTGCATCATATCTTCAGAAATATCTTTTGAAAAATTAATGCATGTTTTAAGTGATGGACCTCAGAATCCACCGCGATGCTATTTGAATCCATAAAGAACAACCTTTAAATTCACGAAGAAAAATTAATAAGAAAAAAGTTATTGATAAAAGTGACCTACTTATGAAAGTTACAATCATTCTTCTTAAATAGAAAAAAAATAAAGTCTACACCTAACAGCGCCCCATCCCACCCAAACTACCCACACCCCCAACCCTACCCAAAAAAGACATTCTTTAAAACTACGTAAGAGACCCCCTAAAATAGAGGAACAAATCAGTACAAATTGAATCAAAAATGAATTTGTTTCCTAATCTAAAATTGACTCTAATTTTATTACTAAAAATAAACTCAAACTAGATTATTTTTGAAATTCTACTTAAATTGTGTACCGCGATGAGATTTCGAGAATGTCAATTTGGTTGGCCCTGTCTTATCAAGATAGACAATTACACATATAATGTTGATGTTAAGTGATCACACGGTCAATAATATCTACGGTGGGATAGGGGTGAGGTTGACGAGGGGCCACTTCCTTCCCTGAATACCTGGTTCTTAGGTGGGTCGTTGAAAAGCCTACACAAGTAGAAACACGTAAGAGGACGGGGACTAGTTCCCCCGTGGTTCCTCCAACGATCTAGTCAGCTAGTGAGCTTTGAGTGGAGAAAATAAAGAATCGTGAGAGTTCTTTTGCGTGTGGTATGGTTTGTAGAAGACACTGATTTTGCAGAAAAAGCCAGAATCCTCCAATGAGTGAATAGTACCTTGTATTTATAGTAGTGTCGAAGGAGCATAATCGTCATTGTGGCCGAGGACAGGATGACGGTGAAGAAACGTGGGTTGGCGGCTGCGTCAGCACTCGCTTTATAGGTGTTGGCTGGCGACTGGAGGAGAGATCACGTCGCCATTAAATGGGAAGTGATCGGAGGCATGGTGATGCTGACATGGTTCGATGAGTCATAAATACTATCGGTGCTAGAGATATGATGGCGCTTGCCAAACATTAAATACGACGCTGACACGTTGTCAGTGGGAGAGGCTCGAGGTTGAAGTTGTCTTCTAGCTTCGCTGAGAAGTAATGTCTTTCGAGTCGACCTCGTGAGGCGTCGAGTAGTTGGTCGAGTGGGCTCGTTGCGAGTCGTCTTCGACAAAAGGGGGGCGACAAGTATCGCTTTTCGAGTCGACGTGAGGGAATGATGACTCGACAAGTTAGCTGAGTTGTCGTCCCTGCTGATCTCCGGCCACCAACTTGATTGGAGCATTGCATGCAGAGGTACTTCTATCCGTTGCTAGCAAAGGGTCGCACTTAGATGATTGGGAACACCATAACATATAATATGTCAAAATTCACCTTTCGGACTGGGAGATATAGTCATTTCTTTGCGGACAACTTAATAATATATCTGTATCCGCGTTTGCTGGTGAAGACTCCACTTTTCAATGATTTTGCTCTTTATGCATCCTACATAAAAAATAAAAAGAAAAACACACTCTCACACTTGCAAAACACTACGACAGCGCCCTCACTGACTCTCATAAAAGTCAACATCAAGGACATTTAAGGGCTCAGATCAAATATACCACCCTTCCTTCACACGCCCGTGTACTGCACGGGCACGGGCGTTTACTTCGGCACCAAAATAACAACCAGAACCCTCTCTTCACTTGACCTCCGTCTCTTGATCCTCCAAATCCGAAATGGAGCCCAGCGGACCCGGGTTCGGACCCAAATCCGGATCCACTAACAAGGAAGACAAGTGGTCGCTCCCATTCTGCACCATCGTGGCGGTGGACACGAGCGAAAGCATCAGCTACAGAGCCTGCTCCATCTGCGAGAGGACCCTCACCATCGTGGCGGTGGACACGAGCGAAAGCATCAGCTACAGAGCCTGCTCCATCTGCGAGAGGACCCTGCCTGAAGACCCGTCCTCTTTCTGCTCCTTCTGCTCCAACAACTCCTCCGCAAATCCCGGGTGCAAACGCGTCTATCGGATCCTTGTAAATCCAATACCCACCTAAAAATCCTATTTCCATGTTCTTTTTTCTGATGACAGTAAGGAGAAATATAGGGAAAATTTGCAAAATAGTCCGTTTTTGCTAATTATTTAGCAAAATAGACCGTTTTGCTAAATAATTAGCAAAATAGACATCTTTTTGGCCAACAGGCCAAAAAGAGGTCTATTTTGCAAAACAGCTCAGAAAACATACGGGACTAGTAGTCCCGTTGTTTTAATCACGGATTAGTGAACTCAGAAAAGTTTACAAAACATTGAGATGAACTCAGAAAACATATGGGACTACTAGTCCCATATGTGAAAGGACCCAACCAATACACTGGAACTTTAAAGTTATAGCGAGGATTGTGGGTTACAGTTTATATTCTAGCACGGATAGATCCTCGAGAATTGAAATGGAGTCCAACCCCACAGTCACCATCCATGTCTCCTCTTTCTTGGAAGGTGTGTTGTTTTCGACCAGGTTTACGGTGGAGATGGAAAATAACAGTTAGGACAGAGGTGCGCAGTGCGGAATTATATCAAGTCTAACGCCACAAATCTCTAATGATAATCACAATTTATAGGAGTCTATCCATTATCATAACTTTGGAGTTTTTTGCAGCGGTAAGGGCTTTAAGTTAGTGCTAGAACAGCTGTGTATGTCTAGATTTCGACCTATAAAAAGGGTGCTCAAACATGCAAAGGCATATTAGAGTAAAAAAATATAGCCCTTAACCCTCACTATAATTTTTTTCTGCTTAGACTTATGCCAAACTTGAGAGGTTTCTACCATATCATACTTAAGAGGTAATACCTGACATAATGTCATGGTATGGAGGGTTTATTTGCAATTAGCCATTTATATGTGACTCTTCATTTTCTACTCCTTAACTATTAAAGGTATTTGAAGTTTAGGTTTTTGACAATACCTTTAATATTGTTAGAGTAAGTTTCCTATAGTGTATGTTTTATGTCCGCGTGAAGTGCAGCAAGGCCCACCCGATTGATCACCTATTGATCACCTATATATACCTATTAATCCCTTAGGGTTATTGGGTGCGGAAGGAGGACGTGCAAAGGAGTTTTCTCGGCTTGGTGTCTTTTGCGGCTACAGTGCAAGGAGAGATTTTTCGGCTTAGTGGATTTTTCGGCAGAAGAAAAAAGCAAAGCAAGAAAAATAGAAGAGGACTGTGCGGCTGTGCAAAAGAAAAGGCAGAGGCCTATTTTTGGGTTTTGTGCATCCTTTCGAGAGAGTTTTTGTGAGAGATTAGAGAGTTAGTTTGAGGGTTTATTTTGTGAGATTGTAAACCTATTGTATTTTCTCTCTAATAGTAGATCCCCCTCCTTGCCCCGTGGACGTAGGCAGTTTGCCGAACCACGTAAAATTGATTGTTTGAGTTTGTGGCCATTGTAATAGTTTTAGGATCCCTCGACGCGCAGTCCTAGAGCTGACGAGAGGAAGAGCTAATATCCTACTTTGATGGGATATTAGGCTTTCAGATTCTTGTTTCCTTTGAGATACAAGAATTCTTATCGATCTTTCTCTCTTATTGTGCACCAGAAACTCTGCCGAAATTTCCGCTGCGCACAACATTATGCATATTTAAAAATTGTACATAATGGGTATGAAATGACAGCACATTTTGCTAAATAGGCTAATCATGAGATAGTCACGTGATGAGGCTCATCTTGCCAATCATATCAAAATGTGTGGATGGTCTCACTACTCTTATCTATTGGTAGCTCATTTTACTAAGTAAGCCGCCACCTCATATCCATCATTCTCGTAAAAATATTAAACATCCAAAAGTTCAGGATAATCAAAATTTACTTTACGAAATTAGGTGTAAGGTTGCAATTTGTTTAGCAAAATGAGCTACCTAAAAGACAAAGAATGTATTTCACAAATACATGATGATTTAAAAGATAGGTATATTTGAATCAGTGCAAAACATGAAGATTGGGGACTAATGTATTGAGCTAAGAGACTATTCTCTACTACCACACTCGTCTGGTTACGCTACTTTTTTTATTTACGACTTATTTTGCTAAACCACAATCAATTGTGATTTGTGCTGCTCGGTAGGTATCCATTGCTACTACCGACGAGGTAATCGTGGTGATCTTCTTCGATCGCGTCACCCGTGTCCTCTTCGGCTGCTCAGCCGACGAATTCTTCCACTTCTGCAGGCTCCATCCCTTCGCGGGTGCGCGCTCTCTCTCTCTCTCTCTAAAATCCAAAATGTTCTCTCTTTCGTTTATCGTCACTTATTTTGGTGTGTTTTGTGAGTTTCAGCCGAAAAGGCAGCAGAGGTATTAGAAGGGGAAATGTGCAGGCTTACACTGTCGAAGCCAAAGAGCAGTAATGCTCAGCATCTCCGTGCTGCTTCCGTTGTTCCCTTGCGCACTGGATTTCGCCCTGTGATCGATACTTTGAAGCAAATGTATGGGATCGAGACTTCTTCCAGCGGCATGAAAAAAGAAAAATGATATGTGATTGTTGTGTGCAATCTGATGTTTGACAAACTTCTGCCTTACTTAATCGATCGTTTTGTTTAGATTACAGGATTTGTCAATTGCTTGCAATCAGTTGTCGGTTTCTTGTGGCTTCAAATGAGAAATGCCTCAGAAATGATCTCTTCAACAAGCCGCAACGCTTGGTTGGTATAAGGTAGCATCGAGTAATTACTGATGGAGAAGAGCAATTAATTTATCAACTAATTATTTTTTTGTATTTTTATTGATTCACATCACATTGTCCAGAGACAGAGGCTAAGTTATAGCTTCTTGTTGGAGTTGTAGTGTTCTAAAATTATATCTTATGTAGAAGGGTAAATCTCTAACCTACATGTAGCATGTAGTCGTAGTCTCCATCTATATATATTGGCACGTTCTCTTGTAATTGTTACTTTATCAGGAAGAAAAGAAGAAATCTTAGTGTAACCAAGGACGTAAGCAAATTGCCGAATCACGTAAAAATATTTATCTTCCGTGATTGCTTTGTTTTTTTATGGTCCTTGACTTCTCTCTCGCTTGTAGGAATTTTGAGTCCTAACACTTGTATCAAACTATTTCCTTTGATGCAACAAAGGAGAATAAGGAAAATCGCCCACATCCAAGTTCAAGTTTGATTTCAAATTAGCACCATGCGTAGCTACAAGAATAATACCTAAACATTAAATGAAAAGGCCAAGCACTCATGTAATACATGCTAGATTCCTCAACATCACCATTCAGTAATATCCGAAGGATTCAGCAACAAACAATTATATAAAGGATTCGGCAACGTCCTTCATAAGGCCCGGGTTATCCTTGCAGAAGGCAACAAACTCGTTATAATCGATATATCCATTGTTGTCGGTGTCGAGTTCGTCCATCATGCTCTGCACCACAACCACATCGGCTGATGTTGAGCCGAGGGCACGTAGAGTTTCTCCGAGCTCTGTCGAGGATATTTTGCCATCGCCATTGATGTCAGAACGCTTGAAAATCCTCTGCATCTCTTCTTCTGAGATTCCATTCTCCATGCTTTTGGTAATGGAAGCAATGAGAAAAGAAAAAGGAAATAACAGGACAGAGGAGGGGTATTGTACAAGGAGAGAGCGCTGGAGAGTTTGTAAGCTTTGTGGGGTTGAGCGTTGGACGCGGGTGTTCTCTTTTGAAACCACCACTAGAAAATAAATTGATTAAAAATAGTACTTCTCCAAATGGGTATTTCATTTATTGGTCTGTTACATACTTCATAATTTGAATTTAGTCCAAAATCATTAAAATTGCTATCTAGCCTCCAATCTCTAGTATATATTTCAAATTAGTCAATGCAGTTATATGCTATGTGATTTAGAAGAATGTATCCAGCAGGGATGGCTCATGGCATTAAATGTGCACCTAAAGGATATCAATCATTGGATCATTGGACTTCATGATTCGTGCATCGATTCAAGGATTGATACCCTTTGGACGCACATTAATATCATGGTCGTCTTTACTAGATACTTTCTTGTAATTTGGGAAGTTGCTAGTGGATAAAAAAAATTACTAGCGGTAACACGTCCTATCCCAAATTTGGTCAAAAAGAGCATGTTTGTGCACGAAAATAGCTATGAAGTAGCTAGAGTAAAGATAGTAGATGTTACTTCTACCGTTCTACTTCCAAGTAAAAAATATATTTCCGGCTAGAGGTTGAAGAAGATCTCTCATCTAGTTAACAGGTTCTTTGGAGGCTCATTCTTTATCATCCTCCGCATTGGAGGATGACTCGATAACTGTGCTAAACACATGCATGTTTATGATCACAATTTATTTCCATATCTAAAACAGGAGACTAACTACATAAATAGTGTCAAGAAAGCAGTCGGAGATGGATATTTTTCATTTTCAGGTTTATGGTTAATCAACTATTTTGTTTGAATTAAGAAATTGGAATTGTTGTAGTTCTTGATATATATCAGTGATGTAGGACAACACAAACCCTAAAAAACCTTTTCTGATAATATAAAAGCAAAGATAAAAGCCTACATTAATTCATCTCGTTATGTACGGTATAAAACAGTGCAAAAGTATCAAACTCTCTTCTCAGCCTATTTATTTGAAAGCAAAAACTTGTTATTTTAGTTTTGGCATACAAATTTTTGCTCACCTTTTCTTTGGAGAGGTCTACCTAATTCTTTGATTCATGATTGCGTTTATCAACATTTTTTATGTACATCTATGATAATGGAAGTTGGAAATATACCACTAACAGTCTGTAATTGATTTGCTATAATATAATTCTACTTCTCAGGAAAATTTGTTCCTGGTATATTAATCACATAGCTAAAATATAATGTGACAATGCGAAGGCTTATATCTTGTTTCATATGCAATAATAATTTTTTGATATGCCACGGCATAAATGTACATTCACACCATTAAGAAATGAAGAAAAAAATTTAGTTTATATATGTGTCAAAATGTTATAGTGAACAAGGGCTTTCCATCCCTCGCCTAAACATGCGCTTCGGCAGAATGATATAATCATATAAACAGCATATATGCAAATATACAACTGTCGAAGCTTGAATCTTCTATGATAATCATACATTAGTTACAATATCAGAATACAACAAAACCTCGAGGCAAGGTTCGAATCGCCACCAATTAACAATATCATCAGAGAACAGACTACGACCTTACTTTAGCTAGCCGTGCTCTGATCTCATCTAGTTCTCCCTCATCATCAACTCCCTCTGCAATGGCTTCTGACTGCAACATATAACCCATATTTTCTTTTAGCTCTTTGCGGTACAGGATAATTGCAGATACACACCTTGTACTATGAGCGTGTAGCCACTTGTGCCTCTAAGATATTTTATTATTACTTACACCCTGAACTCAAAACTCTGGACGATGTTATTTTCCAAGTTAGCTTATAAGATGATAAATTATCCTATACTCTCGGTTTTAGGTTAAAAAGAACAAAAAACGAACACAAAATTGACCTCAAATTTGAGACTAAAGAAGTAATGGCGTCTAAGATTAGGGGGTTGTAAGTGCAATTTTTAAAAAAATAACAATTAGGGATAGTAATTAGAACATGTATAGCACAAGGGGTGTACCAGCAACCTCGCACGAATGTTATGAAAGAAAAAAAGAAAAGAGAGAGCTTAGCAATTATATCAAAATACCTCTGCTGCAGTTGTTTGGCTTGTTGAAGGTTGCTTTATTCTCTCCTTTCGTGCAGCATCCGGAAGCTGTGACGCAGTCTCGCCTGCTATTGCTGCAAGAACTTTTTCGACCTCTTCTTCTGTTTCTTCCTCCATGTCCTCAGAGTCCAAAGCTGAATCAACGGCATCATTCACCATCTCTTCGATCACCCCTGCCTGTAAATAGGACCAAGAAGTTGAGAATACAAGTGCATTGTGTCACACTTTGACCACATGTTGACAAAAAAATTTAAGAAAATGGGTATAAGGTAGCAGCTCATTTTGTCAAATAAGCTGCCAAGAAATGCATTGGTGCCTTGGTGGTGAGGCGCACCCTGCTAATCAAATTGAAGCATGTGAGTCTCGCCAATTCCATCTCTTGACGGATCATAACCCACACCCTCTTTACAATGGACCTCTTAGCTATGCAGTGTCCTAATTCTACATTTCATATTTGTCGAGAAATATCTTAATAAGTTTTTTGTAGCAATTGATTAATGTGTTTGATCCTCTATAGATTTGGTGGACTAATATAACCAAAATGCCTGTTCATCTTTCACGCCCTTTGCCAATAACCCGGCCTCAAGCTAAAAATAAATGCACCACTCAAATTAGACCTTTTTGCCATTAGCTCTTATCCGCATCAGCAGCCATTAACAGAATGTACATTTTCATGTAAGGGGCCTGTGATCTTTAACTGTCTCTTCTGGATATCTCAATTATTCTTTCAAATCCCAATCTTCCAGATCTCTCTTTTTGAATGGGCTGTTTGGTGTTTGGATTTGTATTTTAAATTTATGACAACATAAAAAAAATCCAAGAAATCATCAAGAATCAAAAATTTTAAGTTTGTGTTCGGTTTGTAAGGAAGTTGGTTTTGAAAAGAGACCAAGAATTCTTGTTTGTTCAATCATTTATTGGTGCTCTTGCAGGCTCAGATGCTTCTCTGATCTTAGATCTTTGTTCAATCATCTAAGAATACTTGTTTGTTCGGAAAGAGAATCTAAGAATCCAAGAAATCATCTAAGAATTCTTTGTTCAATCATTTATAGATCAAAACTGATTGAACTCTTGATTAGAGGTGGAATATGCATTTTCTTTTGAAGCTTTTGGGCATTCACTGAGATCATCAGTTAAATTCCCAACTTGATATATCTACACATATGACAAATGAGTTGATACCGCTTATGATCAAAGTAGAAATTTCTTCTTGCGTAACTTGCGAGCTCTAAGCAAGTATGCAACATACATCAAGGTGAAAGTCAACTGATAACCTGGAAGCTCAAAGAAAACTTGTTTCTACTCCAAAAAAACTAAGAGGAGCAGGAAAAGGTTCTTGGAACAAATGGAGTAATACCGAGTGCTGCGACTAACTTGGGATGACCTCATAGGTACACTAATGGAACTGTTAGGATACACCCTAATAAGAACGCCTCTAACGGAGACGCAATACACAAAATAAAGGCACAAGATCAACCAGAGTACTCACAGATATACGTGGTTCACTCATTCGGAGCTACCCCACGGTGCAACGACGACGCCAAATTCTTTTATATCCCAAAAGAATAGATCAAAGAGAACACCCTCTCTTGATCAGATACACTCCAAGAACTCTCACAATCTCTCTGTGTGTTATTTCTCTTACTCTTCTATGAGAGGAGTTGTTTCTGAGATTTCCTTAAGAGTTTAGGACCCTATTTATAGTGTTTGGGAAATACTATGCACAAATAAAATATTATTGGTGGGACCCGCTACTAATAATATTTTAGTTAGTGGGACCCGCCACCACTTTAATTTGTCAAACTTTGCAGGCTCCTTTCGGCCACCGATTGCATTTCTCAAAAAATGTAAGGCGGGGGCGGCTGGCTAAGTTAAACAAGGCTGCAGGCAACAATTTCCCACTTGAAGATTTGATTGAGTATCAATCATATCTTCACACCCTTCTTGGTTGCATCATTCGGATGTCTTGTATCTTTGGCGTCTTGCACGACCTTCAACATTCTCAACGGAGGCCATATGAGGCTGCACACAGC